TTCTGTACCCAAGTCCACTGTCGGCTCAATCCCTCTGGGAAAGAGCCCAGGAGTCCCTGAAGCCAAGGAGGAAAATGGTGCCCCCACTCCAGCAAGGAGGTAGCGGGTAGACCAGGATACATCCAGACCATATAGTTGAAATCTGAATTTCTCATGGGACTTCCTTGTAGTTTTTGCTATTTTTTTTGACATTATTCCATTTAAAACAACTTACAAAGACATTTCTATAGACAATTAAAATTCGATTCCCTACTTTAAAAAGTGTAGTATGGAACAAAAATATGGACTACACATAATGCCTCATTTAGTTATACAGGAAATACAATTAATTTCCAGATGAGGCACATTCGTTACTCTGTTACTTTTAAGACAAAAAAATTGATCATTTTAATGAAGGGGGTGAGTAAAGTAGCATACTTAATTTTTATAAATATTCACTTGTATTCAATACTCATATTTTATTTAATTGTCATTTTCTATGTAAGCTCATCTTTTATCTGTCATCAATTTGCAAACTGTTTTTGTATTTTTGCTTATAGAACAGCTAAGTTTTATTTGTTCTAGAATTTCAGTGTTTTCCAGTGTATTTATTTCAATTTTTGTTCATGTTATTTCTCTTTTATTTTTCTTTGGATATTTTTTTTCTTTTATTGGTTGTTTCCCTCACATGAAGTTTAATGCATGTTTAATTTAATTTTTGTCTTCTTTTCATTCCTAATAGCCAAGAAACTGTATTTCTTAAAAAAAAAAAAAAAAAAAGAAACCTAACAGAAATAAAAAGTGGCATTTGGGTAATGTTTTCATTTTTCTAAGTGCTTTTCTGTTTTCTCATTCGATCCTCAGATTAACCTTTGAAGTTAGAATTTATAACGGTTATTTATCTCAGCTTGTCAGATGAAAAAAACAAGAACCTAATAAGTTAATTAAATGACTTGTTTAAGTTTTAACAACTAATTTGCAGCAGAGTAAATCTTATAAAAATTTCAAAATTAAAATACTGTAATAATAATGCAGAAAGTCTATGTTGGGAAGGCTGGTGAAAATTAGAATGGAAATTTTTTTGATCTAAAGGGGCCCTTATTAATTTGCAAGGCTTTGCTATGGTTACCCACATGATACAAACTCCCACATGTCCTTCTTCCCTCGGATTTCTCCTGTGAGCTCCAGGCTCATATATCCAGTGCTTATTTGAAGCTCCTCTTGTATTCCCCATAGGCATCATAAATGGAATGCAGAGTCACCCAAGACTGAAGAAGAGTCCCCTTGCTGTTGCATTTCCCCTGATTCTTCTGACCCCAACCCCGGACATGGTCACCATGGCTCATAGACATGAGTTACTGAGTGTATAGGTGTGGATCTGAGGGATTTGAGATTGGGTTCCAAGCTTGTTTATAGATTTTACTTCATAATGGTGATTTGCATTTATTTCAGTGCTTGAGTCAGGAGGTTTTCCTAACATCCTGAAGACGAAGGTCTTCTCTGTGGAGAACTATCTAGCACATATGACAGCTCTGAGAGTGTTTTTAAGAACAGGTTGACATGTATGCTCTGTATTTTTTTAATATATAGATTTGATGATGTGTAATCAGCCATAGTCTTTTGATCTTTGGATCTTTTGGCGAATTCTTAATTAAGCTTGTAATCTGCACTAATGGCAACAGAAGGGTAAACTGGTTTGTGTTGCCAAAGGAGGTGGCACAATCCATTATCTTGATGGTTTTGGCATGATCCTTCCTGGCACCTCAAAGGTGGACCCTGTGATGTTATATACACTCTTGTGTATACTGCTTATTAATATACACTGCTTATTAATCTGGGTGTTTTTGGATGAACATAAAGTAAAACATGCAGGGAACCATTAATGCATTGTAAGGTGAGGTAAGGTGGTAAATCATATATCAGCTTCCCATTCATAGTGATTCATTGGGAACATTTCCCTCCAGTGTTTTGGTTCCATAAGCAAATGAATCAAATTACAGTCTCAGAAAGATTTCTACCCATCAGCAAAATATTTATTAATTTTTTTGCCTGTTCCAAATTACAAACTACCTTTATTATTCTTGTTACTATTCAAATAGAAAACCATACAATACAATCAGTTTCTGTGCTTGATCCAATTTCTGTGAAAATTTGACAAAGATAATCAAATAGACTAAGCATAAGAATTTTGTGAAATTCCACATGGTGTTTATTTGGATTGATAATGTGATCTTTGGTAGGTCTCTACCTATTTTGGAGGAAGCCATTACTTTTTATATATGGAATGTCCAACTTCAGAGTCTCATTTGCCTGTGAATTGAGAGAGTTCAATAGACTCATGGGAGACTCAGGTTCTGACTTTGGCTGCTTTGTTACTTTCATGCATCCCCGATATTCTTACTTCTAGTAAAGACAACCTCTCACTTAGAGTCACCAATCAGCAGCAAAGATTGAATTTCCTCTTTTCCAAAGACAGTTAACAAACAATTCCTAAATTCCCACCAAGCATTGAGCTCACCCTGGAGACCTGGAGGCAAACAATCATGATTGTGCAAAATCAATTGCAACTAGGTTATCTTGATGGTGGCAAGGGAGATAGAATGAGAGGAAACAGAGGATTTGCACATAATTGTCATTTTCAGTTAGATTTAAAAAATGCGTTTGAAGTTTGGGATTCAGCATCCCAAATCTAGAAAAAGGGACCAGGAAGGCCCCTGCCTGCTTTATGAAGATCATTGATAGATTGTTACCATGGAGCCCATGGGGGGATCAGCAGGAGGGGAAGCCACACAAAAACAGAAAAGAGAAAAAAATGCCCCCAAAGTATGTATATAATTGTGTTTTTACACTTAAAATTTTTTTTCTATATATGCAGAGAAGGTATGTTTTAAAAAAGATTAACGATTGTTAGAGCCATTTTAGGAATGCTTGGATTTAGAAATTCTCTAACTTTGGTATACATAAGAATCTCTTGGGAGTTTGTAAAAATAAATACCAATGCACAAATCATACCCTGATGGCTAAGACCTGCTTTCCTAGGTAACTCTAAAATATACTGAGGTTTGAAAACCACTTATCTGTCCAGTTTTTATTTTACAGAGAAGAAAATTGGCATCCAGAGGAGTTAGCACACTCACCCACAGTCATATCAATTCCCTACCTAGTTTAATCTCTATTGGCTGTGTGCCCAGACAAGAAAAAAATGCATTCACTTGGGGAAGTGTCCAGAGATAATTTTTTTTTTCTGTCTTACGATAGAAAGGAAAGGAAATGTACAAGCAAATTGGGGAAAAAATTACTACATATGTACTTGTGAGTGTAGTTACTAGATACATAGTTTATATTGCAGTCAGGGAGCATAGATTCAGGTTGCCCTGACTATACACACCTATAGATTTCTTTTATAGCTATAAAATTTTGTGATATTTTCTATTTTCTCCTCTTTGCCTACAATTAAAAAAAATTATTTTTTGAACTATCCACACCAGGGATCATAGGGTGTTAGGCACAGTTAACTGAATTTCACCATCACCTCTAATATAGATAAGTAGGCCAGGCTTATTATTTTAGACAAGGAGACAAAGAGAAGTGTCATACTTACCACAGTAAGATATTAATGATTTATTAGATTTATAAAGGAAATGGAAAGTTCCTGACACTCAGGTTAGTGCTGGGTGCTGGGCCTACAGCCTCAGTTTTCACAAAAGATCTAGAGTCCAAGGTACCAAATTTTATCAAAATAAGTTGGGTTTAAGTTCACCAACCAGCCTGTAGCCTACTCGTCCTTTCTGGCAATGATTAACACTAGTGTTTAATGCACGTTCTAAAGTATGTTCTTTAAACTCTCTTACCAAAGAGAACTTCCTTTTTATGTAATGAGTCAGCTCTCTGGCTATTTGTGGCCTGGGGAATTGTCTCTCCAGTGGTGGAGATATGGAGCCCAGCTGCCAGGGTAAACGGCCACTTCCTAATGTAATTGCTCAGAAATGCTGGAGGAGAAAATGTAAGAAAAGAAATTGCTCTGTCTTGTAAACAGTCAACTGTGTTTTATAAGAGTGTATCAGCACTCCAAATCATTCATTAACTTGAGTAACAATGGTTGGATTTCACTGTTAGGTTTACTTGGTGTCGCATTAATCATTCTCTTCTACATGATGTGCCAGATTTCTTTGATGACAAACAGTCCACCAAAGGCCGAAATACGGTTTTAGGAGCAAGCTTTTAAGCAGAGTCAGACTTATCTCAGAGGCCATTTCAGCTTTCTCTCTTCTTGATCGGAAATACTTCTCAAATTTGACCCGGGACCATTTAAGAACTTTTTTCCTTATTTTTTTTTAATTTTAATTTTTTTTGTTTTGTGTCAAAGTTTTATTTTATTTTTTATTTTTTCTTAAATTTTTTATTGGATTTTAGGTTTTGGGGTACATGAGCAGAGCATGCAAGACAGTTGCGTAGGTACACACATGGCAGTGTGCTTTTCTTTGTTTCTCCCCTTCACCCACATTTGGCATTTCTCCCCAGGCTATCCCTCCCCACCTCCCCCTCCCACTGGCCCTCCCCTTTTCCCCCCAATAGACCCCAGTGTTTAGTACTCCCCTTTCTGTGTCCATGTGTTCTCATTTTTCATCACCCGCCTATGAGTGAGAATATGCGGTGTTTCATTTTCTGTTCTTGTGTCAGTTTGCTGAGGATGATGTTCTCCAGATTCATCCATGTCCCTACAAACGACACAAACTCATCATTTCTGATTGCTGCATAATATTCCATGGTGTATATGTGCCACATTTTTCCAATCCAGTCTATTATCAATGGGCATTTGGGTTGATTCCAGGTATTTGCTATTGTAAACAGTGCTGCAATGAACATTCGTGTACATGTGTCCTTATAGTAGAACGATTTATAGTCTTTTGGATATATATCCAGTAATGGGATTGCTGGGTCACATGGAATTTCTATTTCTAAGGCCTTGAGGAATCGCCACACTGTCTTCCACAATGGTTGAACTAATTTACACTCCCACCAACAGTGTAAAAGTGTTCCTTTTTCTCCACATCCTCTCCAGCATCTGTTGTCTCCAGATTTTTTAATGATCACCATTCTAACTGGCGTGAGATGGTATCTCAATGTGGTTTTGATTTGCATCTCTCTGATGACCAGTGACGATGAGCATTTTTTCATATGATTGAAAATCACGCAGACATCAACCTGCTCTACTGGAGTGATGAGGAGGCCGTGGTGGACTTCAAGGCCGTGCAGGGCCGCTGCACCGTGGAGTACAGGGAGGACCTGCCCGAGTGCGTCCAGGAGTACTCCATGGGCGGCCCCAACCGCTTCTACTTCCCTGAGGCCTATAATGCGAGGAGCAAAAGCTTTGAAGATCCTCCCAACCATGCTCGTAGCCCTGGAAACAAAGGGAAGGGCAAGGGAAAAGGGAAGGGCAAGCCCAAGTCCCAAGCCTGTGAGCCGAGCGAGCCAGAGACTGAGATCAAGCTGCCCAAGTTGCGGACCCTAGACGTGTTTTCTGGCTGTGGGGGATTGTCGGAGGGATTCCACCAAGCAGGCATCTCTGAGACGCTGTGGGCCATCGAGATGTGGGACCCGGCAGCCCAGGCATTCCGGCTGAACAACCCCGGATCCACGGTGTTCACAGAGGACTGCAACGTCCTGCTGAAGCTGGTCATGGCTGGGGAGACCACCAACTCCCGTGGCCAGCGGCTGCCCCAGAAGGGAGATGTGGAGACGCTCTGTGGTGGGCAGCCCTGCCAGGGCTTCAGCGGCATGAACTGCTTCAACTCGCGCACCTACTCCAAGTTCAAAAACTCCCTGGTGGTCTCCTTCCTCAGCTACTGTGACTACTACCGGCCCCGGTTCTTCCTCCTGGAGAACGTCAGGAACTTTGTCTCCTTCAAGCGCTCCATGGTTCTGAAGCTCACCCTCCGCTGCCTGGTCCGCATGGGCTATCAGTGCACCTTTGGCGTGCTGCAGGCCAGTCAGTATGGCGTGGCCCAGACGCGGAGGCGGGCCATCATCCTGGCTGCAGCCCCTGGAGAGAAGCTTCCCCTGTTCCCGGAGCCACTGCATGTGTTTGCACCCCGGGCCTGCCAGCTGAGCGTGGTGGTGGACGACAAGAAGTTCGTGAGCAACATAACCAGGTTGAGCTCGGGTCCTTTCCGGACCATCACGGTGCGAGACACGATGTCTGACCTGCCGGAGGTGCAGAACGGAGCCTCGGCACTGGAGATCTCCTACAACGGGGAGCCTCAGTCCTGGTTCCAGAGGCAGCTCCGGGGCACACAGTACCAGCCCATCCTCAGGGACCACATCTGTAAGGACATGAGTGCATTGGTGGCCGCCCGCATGCGGCACATCCCCTTGGCCCCCGGCTCAGACCGGCAAGATCTGCCCAACATCGAAGTGCGGCTCTCGGACGGCACCATGGCCCGGAAGCTGCGGTACACCCACCATGACAGGAAGAATGGTCGCAGCAGCTCCGGGGCCCTCCGTGGGGTCTGCTCCTGTGTGGAAGCTGGCAAAGCCTGCGACCCTGCAGCTAGGCAGTTCAACACCCTCATCCCCTGGTGCCTGCCCCACACTGGGAACCGGCACAACCACTGGGCTGGCCTCTATGGAAGGCTTGAGTGGGACGGCTTCTTCAGCACAACTGTCACCAACCCCGAGCCCATGGGCAAGCAGGGCCGCGTGCTCCACCCCGAGCAACACCGTGTGGTGAGTGTGCGGGAGTGTGCCCGCTACCAGGGCTTCCCTGACACCTACCGGCTCTTTGGCAATATCCTGGACAAGCACCGGCAGGTGGGCAATGCCGTGCCACCACCCCTGGCCAAAGCCATCGGCTTGGAGATCAAGCTCTGTGTGTTGGCCAAAGCCCGAGAGAGTGCCTCAGCTAAAATAAAGGAGGAGGAAGCTGCTAAGGACTAGTTCTGCCCTCCCTTCACCCATGTTTCTGGCACCAGGAATCCCCAACATGCACTGATGTTGTGTTTTTAACATGTCCATCTGTCCGTTCACATGTGTGGCACATGGTGTTTCTGGCCTTGGCTGACATGAAGCTGTTGTGTGAGGTTTGCTTACCAACTAATGATTTAGTGATCAAATTGTGCAGTACTTTGTGCATTCTGGATTTTAAAAGTTTTTTTATTATGCATTATATCGAATCTACCACTGTATGAGTGGAAATTAAGATTTTATGTAGTTTTTATATGTTGTAATATTTCTTCAAATAAATCTCTCCTATAAACCAAAAAAAAAAAAGTCTTCTTTCGTAAAGTGTCTGTTCATATTCTTTGCCCACTTTTGAATGGGCTTGTTTTTTTCCTGTAAATCTGTTTGAGTTCTTTGTAAATTCTGGATATCAGCCCTTTGTCAGATGGGTAAACTGCGACAATTTTTTCCCATTCTGTTGTTTGCCGATCCACTCTAGTGACTGTTTCTTTTGCCGTGCAGAAGCTGTGGAGTTTCATTAGGTCCCATTTGTCTATTTTGGCTTTTGTTGCCAATGCTTTTGGTGTTTTGTTCATGAAGTCCTTGCCTACTTTTATGTCCTGGATAGTTTTGCCTAGATTTCCTTCTAGGGTTTTTATGGTGCCAGGTCTTATATTTAAGTCTTTAATCCATCTGGAGTTAATTTTAGTGTAAGGTGTCAGGAAGGGGTCCAGTTTCTGCTTTCTGCACATGGCTAGCCAGTTTTCCCAACACCATTTGTTAAACAGGGAATCCTTTCCCCATTGCTTGTTTTTGTCAGGTTTATCAAAGATTGTATAGTTGTAGATATGTTGTGTTGCCTCCGGTGTCTCTGTTTTCTTCCATTGGTCTATATCTCTGTTTTGGTACCAGTACCATGCTGTTTTGATTACTGTAGCCTTGTAGTATAGTTTGAAATCCGGTAGTGTGATGCCCCCCACTGTGTTCTTTTTGCTTAGAATTGACTTGGCTATGCGGGCTCTCTTTTGGTTCCATATGAAGTTCATGGTGGTTTTTTCCAGTTCTGTGAAGAAAGTCAATGGTAGCTTGATGGGGATAGCACTGATTCTGTAAATTACTTTGGGCAGTATAGCCATTTTCACGATATTAATTCTTCCTAACCATGAACATGGAATGTTTCTCCATCTGTTTGTGTCCTCTCTGATTTCGTTGAGCAGTGGTTTGTAGTTCTCCTTGAAGAGGTTCCTTACGTTCCTTGTGAGTTGTATTCCAAGGTATTTTATTCTTTTTGTAGCAATTGTGAATGGCAGTTCGTTCTTGATTTGGCTTTCTTTAAGTCTGTTATTGGTGTAGACAAATGCTTGTGAGTTTTGCACATTGATTTTATATCCTGAGACTTTGCTGAAGCTGATTATCAGTTTCAGGAGTTTTTGGGCTGAGGCGATGGGGTCTTCTAGGTATACTATCATGTCGTCTGCAAATAGAGACAATTTGGCTTCCACCTTTCCTATTTGAATACCCTTTATTTCTTTTTCTTGCCTGATTGCTCTGGCTAGAACTTCCAGTACTATATTGAATAGGAGTGGTGAAAGAGGGCATCCTTGTCTAGTGCCAGATTTCAAAGGGAATGCTTCCAGTTTTTGCCCATTCAGTATGATATTGGCTGTTCGTTTGTCATAAATAGCTTTTATTACTTTGAGATACGTTCCATCGATACCAAGTTTATTGAGGGTTTTTAGCATAAAGGGCTGTTGAATTTTGTCAAATGCCTTCTCTGCATCAATTGAGATAATCATGTGGTTTTTGTTTTTGGTTCTGTTTATGTGGTGAATTACGTTTATAGACTTGCATATGTTGAACCAGCCTTGCATCCCCGGGATGAGTCCTACTTGATCATGATGAATAAGTTTTTTGATTTGCTGTTGCAATCGGCTTGCCAATATTTTATTGAAGATTTCTGCATCTATGTTCATCATAGATATTGGCCTGAAGTTTTCTTTTCTTGTTGGGTCTCTGCCGGGTTTTGGTATCAGAATGATGTTGTTCTCGTAAAATGATTTGGGAAGGCTTCCCTCTTTTTGGATTGTTTGGAATAGTTTTAGAAGGAATGGTACCAGCTCCTCTTTGTGTGTCTGGTAGAATTCAGCTGTGAATTCGTCTGGACCTGGGCTTTTTTTGAGTGGTAGGCTCTTAATTGCTGCCTCGACTTCTGACCTTGTTATTGGTCTATTCATAGTTTCAGCGTCCTCCTGGTTTAGGCTTGGGAGGACACAGGAGTCCAGGAATTTATCCATTTCTTCCAGGTTTACTAGTTTATGTGTATAGAGTTGTTTGTAATATTCTCTGATGATGGTTTGAATTTCTGTGCAGTCTGTGGTGATTTTCCCTTTATCATTTTTTATTGCATCTATTTGGTTGTTCTCTCTTTTCTTTTTAATCAATCTGGCTAGTGGTCTGTCTATTTTGTTGAACTTTTCAAAAAACCAGCTCTTGGATTTATTGATTTTTTGAAGGGTTTTTTGTGTCTCAATCTTCTTCAGTTCAGCTCTGATCTTAGTTATTTCTTGTCTTCTGCTGTGTTTTGAGTTTTTTTGATCTTGCTCCTCTAGCTCTTTCAATTTTGACGATAGGGTGTCAATTTTGGATCTCTCCATTCTCCTCATATGGGCACTTACTGCTATATACTTTCCTCTAGAGACTGTTTTAAATGTATCCCAGAGGTTCTGGCTTGTTGTGTCTTCGTTCTCATTGGTTTCAAAGAACTTCTTTATTTCTGTCTTCATTTCATTGTTTACCCAGTCAACATTCAAGAGCCAGTTGTTCAGTTTCCATGAAGCTGTGCGGTTCTGGGTTGGTTTCTGTATTCTGAGTTCTAACTTGATTGCCCTATGGTCTAAGAGGCTGTTTGTTATGATTTCAGTTGTTTTGCATTTGTTGAGCAGTGCTTTACTTCCAATTATGTGGTCAATTTTAGAGTAGGTGTGATGTGGTGCTGAGAAGAATGTGTATTCTGTGGATTTGGGGTGGAGAGTTCTGTAAATGTCTATCAGGTTTGCTTGCTCCAGGTCTGAGTTTAAGCCCTGGATATCCTTGTTGATTTTCTGTCTGGTTGATCTGTCTAATATTGACAGTGGAGTGTTAAAGTCTCCCACTATTATTGTGTGGGAGTCTAAGTCTCTTTGTAAGTCATTAAGAACTTGCCTTATGTATCTGGGTGCTCCTGTATTGGGTCCATATATGTTCAGGATCGTTAGCTCTTCTTGTTGTATTGATCCTTTTACCATTATGTAATGTCCTTCTTTGTCTCTTTTGATCTTTGTTGCTTTAAAGTCTATTTTATCAGAGATGAGAATTGCAACTCCTGCTTTGCTTTGCTCTCCATTTGCTTGATAAATCTTCCTCCATCCCTTCATCCTTGCATGTGAGATGGGTTTCCTGGATACAGCACACTGATGGGTTTTGGATTTTTATCCAATTTGCCAGTCTGTGTCTTTTGATTGGTGCATTTAGTCCATTTACATTTAGGGTTAATATTGTTATGTGTGAATTTGGTACTGCCATTTTGATGCTAAGTGGCTGTTTTGCCTGTTAGTTGTTGTACATTCTTCATTATGTTGATGCTCTTTAGCATTTAGTGTGATTTTGGAATGGTTGGTACTGGTTGTTTTTTTCTATGTGTAGTGCCTCTTTTAGGAGCACTTGTAAAGCAGGCCTGGTGGTGACAAAATCTCTGAGTACTTGCTTGTTCGCAAAGGATTTTATTTTTCCTTCACTTCTGAATCTCAGTTTGGCTGGATATGAAATCCTGGGTTGAAAGTTCTTTTCTTTAAGAATGTTGAATATTGGCCCCCACTCTCTTCTGGCTTGTAGTGTTTCTGCCGATAGATCTGCTGTGAGTCTGATGGGCTTCCCTTTGTGGGTGACCCGACCTTTCTCTCTGGCTGCCTTTAGTATTTTCTCCTTTATTTCAACCTTGTTGAATCTGACGATTATGTGCCTTGGGGTTGCTCTTCTTGCGGAATATCTTTGTGGTGTTCCCTGTATTTCCTGTATTTGAGTGTTGGCCTGTCTTGCTAGGTGGGGGAAATTTTCCTGGATGATGTCCTGAAGAGTATTTTCCAGCTTGGATTCATTCTCTTCGTCCCCTTCTGGTACACCTATCAAACGTAGGTTAGGTCTTTTCACATAGTCCCACATTTCTTGGAGACTTTGTTCATTCCTTTTTGCGCTTTTTTCTCTAATTTTGGTTTCTCGTTTTATTTCATTGATTTGGTCTTTGACTTCAGATATTCTTTCTTCTGCTTGGTCAATTCGGCTATTGAAACTTGTGCAGGCTTCGTGATGTTCTCGTATTGTGTTTTTCAGCTCCTTTAATTCATTCATATTCCTCTCTAAGTTATCCATTCTTGTTATCATTTCCTCATATCTTTTTTCAAGTTCCTTAGTTTTTTTGCATTGATTTATTACATGTTCTTTTAGCTCACAAAAGTTTCTCATTATTCACCTTCTGAAGTCTAATTCCGTCATTTCGTCACAGTCATTCTCCGTCCAGCTTTGTTCCCTTGCTGGTGAGGAGTTTTGGTCCTTTCTAGGAGACAAGGTGTTCTGGTTTCGGGTATTTTCCTCCTTTTTTCGCTGGTTTCTTCCCATATTTGTGGATTTATCCGCTTGTCGCCTGCGTAGTTGCTGACTTTTCGATTGCGTCTCTGAGTGGACACCCAGATTGTTGATTATGAAGTATTTCTGTTACTTGGTTTTCCTTCTACCAGTCTAGCCCCTTCACTGTACGACTGCTGAGGTCCACTCCAGGCCCTGCTTGTCTGGGGTGCACCTCTAGCAGCTGTGGCACAGTGAGGGATGCTACCAGTTTCTTTTTCTGCTATCTTTGTCCCAGGATGATGCCTGTGAAATGTCAGTCTTTTGGATATAGAGGGGTCAGGGAGCTGCTTGAGGAGACAGTCTCTACTTTATAGGAGCTCAATTGCTGAGCTGTGATCTCTGTTGTTCATTCAGGGCTGTTAGGCTGCTATGTTTGATTCTGCTGCAACAGAGCTCATTAAAAAGGCATTTTT